CATTGCCGGCAATGGGGTGGGCACGGTTTTGGGATGACGCTTCTGGCCCGCGGGCCGGCAGTTTGACACCCCTGGTTTAAAGTACAAAATTGTTACATGCAGAAGAAATAAAAGGAAGGCATGTATCATCCCTGATCATATCCAAACACAAGGATCTACAGCAAGCATGTCAAACTCGCGACATCACATGACGTCACGCAACATATTGGGACTTTTTCCCCATTGCCGGCAATGGGGTGGGCATGGTTTTGGTGTGACGCATCCGGCCTATGGACCGGCAGTTTGACATGCCTGATCTACAGAATCTGCTTTGCCAGAATGATGAAACAAACATGGCAATGTCATGTCTTTATGTACATGGGATATCACGCTTAACATACAAAAGTGGGGAGCTTACATTGTAATGTTCATATTGTCACTTGCCTCCATCTTATTCCCATGGATGGCAATGACTCCATAATATAATTGTTTTTTCTCTAGTGGATGCAATAATCCATACTCTAGCTATTCTGAGGTGAAGGCCATGTGTGTCTTTTACATTTCCAAAATTTACATTTCCAAAATTGCCATACTAAGCACAATAGAATGTTATGAATTCCTAATCCACTGGCAACAGCTATCACCATCAAAGATAAAAAGACAAAACTGTATTTAGAGAAGGTAATATACTTCCTATAATCCCTGAGGTAAACTGTAAAACTATTGATCACAAATCTTTGCTCACAGGAATACATAGCCAAATATGGAACAAAGTCCCTTGTGCACCAGATCTCTTTCAGTATCCAGTGTATTTAGATGGCAATAAATGTTAAATAAACAGAATTGAAATCTGTGTGCAAATTGAACTGTGGGGCTGATCCACAGGTAACCCCTTCCCCAAATTTTATTGTTAACCTCACCACAGGTAACCCCTTCCCCAAATTTTATTGTTAACCTTGGGGCAATATATTTCTAGCTGGCTAGAAATAGCTAGCTCAGAAGAACAATGGATCTAGATCGTTCTTTCTTACACATTAATCTTAGAACAAACTTTTGTTTTTGCTGAATTGAACCCATGAGAGCTTCACTGTATCTAAAATGGCTTTTAATTTACTATCATCAGGAGGAGTTCTATCAAGAAATAAATCTCTGAATTTAATGCCTTTCTGCTACTATTAATTGCATGAATTTATCTCAGTGGTACTGTAAAAGCTGGCATAAAAGAGGACAACTAGTGAATAACTCAGTGCCAGAAATTGTCCCCATTTTTCCTAAGCAAGCAAATTATTCTCTAAAATTGATTCAAAATGGATTCGGCAACTTTCCTTGGCAACAGACTGAAAGGATAATGCTCCTTCCAAAAAGAAAAGAAACAACACCAATTTCAATTATTGACTTACTTGTTGCCGACCACAGCCATCTTAGAAAAAGCTTTAAGTATAAAGGTAATTCTCGGGTTATGGATACAATAGAGCCTGCCAATTATATTCGTAATCTGAGGATTCATTAATTGGATCACGTTAAATGAACGTGATCCCTCCCTGCTTTACCCAATGCATTCGCTAATCGAATGAGCAGATCACTGAGTGCCCATGACGTATCTCAGGGTGGGGAAGACCATGGGAGGCTTAGTGCTTCCGACTGCCCAAGGCTTCCCCAGACCCACTGTGATATCTCATGCTTCTCCCCCCCTCCCTCCGTCCTGCCCCACTGGGTCTCCACAGGCACCGGGCCTGTGGAGATTCACTTGCCTTTTGAAGATCTCTAGGATCAAGCAATCTGTCTCCGCTCCAGCCTCTCTGCCTCGGTTTCTTTGCCTGCTCCTGGCACTATAAAAGAGAGTGGTAAGAGCAGAGGCAAAGCGGGAGGAACCCATCCTGCTCAGCTTGGCTGATCACCAAGGCTGCTTGCACAGGACACCCAATCTGCTCTTGGAGCACCGGGCAACCTTGGTGAGTCTGAAGGAGTACGAGATCGCATCCCTGAAGACTTCTGTTCTCTGGGGCAAAAGCTTTTGGTGTAGAGAACAGAAGCTTTTGAGGACGCAATCTCACACTCCTTGAGACCTCTGTTTTCCACACCAAAAGCTTTTGCAAAGGGACAGAGGCCTGAAGCAGTGCAAGATTGCTCTCCCGAAACCTTCTGTCCCTTTGCAAAAGCTTTTGGCGCAGAGATCAGAAGCCTTTGGGACGCGATCTCACACTCCTTCAGGCGTCTGTCCTCTACACCAAAAGCACTCACCGAGGTTATCTGGCACTCCAAAAGCAGATCAGGTATCCTGCGCAGGCAGCCTTGGTGAGCCAGCCAAGCTGAGCAGGGCACACATGTCCCACTCTGCCTTTGTTCTCACCGCTCTGCTTCGGAAAGCCCGGAGCAAGCAAAGAAACCAAGCCGCTGCGCAAACTCCACAGCAGAAAGGCTGGAGAAGAGACAGCTGGCTTGAAGAGAGAGAAGAAGTGGTCAGCTTTTTCTGGAACTCTGGATTTTCGAAAGGTAAGTGAGCGATTGGTAACGGGGTGGGGAGGAGCCGATAGACTAGCATAGCAGGGCCAGTTCCTGTGGGGGGGGATTAGGCAGAGGGAATGATGTACTGTTTCTGTAATCGGTCGTAAGAGTGAATGACTGCCACGATGCTGCAACATTTGTAACTTTGGGACTGTGTTGTAAGTATTTTTTTTGGGGGGGGTCGTAACTTTGAACCATCACTAAGTGAACTGCCGTAACTTGAAAACTACTTGTAACTATATATTGGAAAATGATCCACTTACTTCAAGTAGAACAGCTGACTGAAAAATCCCAGATTCTTCCCTCAACATATAAACATATTCTGCATTTTTTAAAATTTAGTGGATATGAACATAAAAAAAAGAGTTTAGCAATACATCCTGTTTGCAAAACTCATTTTCATAACAAAGCAAAAAAAGCAATTATTGTGGTTTTTGTAATTTTTAGCTATTTTAATTATTGCATTATAATTTTAAGTAGTAACTGACCTATATCTTTATTCATGTGTATTCCCAAGCATAAACTTGTGAAATTAAAGATTTAACTGAAATAACTAGAAATATATGCCAACAAAAGAGTTCCAACTTTTTACACTTTATTATTAAATCTGAATAAGCTTGAAATAAAAAAGCAACTAACACACGTGTACCTAAAATAACTATGCTCTTAACCTTCAACAGATTAGATAAAAACAATATGTGTATCATATATAAACATTAATAATAAGAAATATATTATTTATTTATTTTTATCCCACCTTTATTATTTTTACAAATAACTGAGGGCAGCAAATATATCCAATATACTTTCCTTCTCCTATTTTCCCTAGAACAACAACTCTCTGAGGTGGGTTGGGCTGAGAGAAAATAACTGGCCCAAGATCACCCAGCCAGCTTTCATGGCTAAGCCAGGATTTGAACTCACTGCTTCCCACTTTCTAGCCTGGTGTCTTAACCACTACACCAAACTGATTCTCATTAACTAGTATTCCCTTAAGGAAATGGAAATTGTAGCAAACAAAGGAAATAAATTTGTAACTATCAGATCAAAAATCAAAACAATTAACATTTCAAAGACCTTCATTCCATCTAGATAAATGAGTAATAAACAGCTAATACACAATAATATATTATATTAGATATCCAAATTATGGAATCATATGTTCTAATGAAGCTAACTGGATCAGTTCAAATAACATAGTCTATGTTATCTTTTGATCAATTTTTCAATTAGAGAAGCTAGGATATTTTTATTTCAATTTAACAATGCAATTTTTTACTTTATTTTTCTGCCTTCAAGTCAATCTAGACTCCTGGTGAGAAATCCAGGCAGTTCTTCTTAGCAACATTTTGGAAGTGGTTTGTCCACACCTTCTTCCGAGGGCTGAGAGAGGGGGACCAGCTGACAGGCCTAAAGGGGAAGTAGAACTCACCATCTCCTGGTTTCTAAATGCCTTAAACAACAAATGGGCTCTCATAATTCTATTGATCATTTTGGAATTGTAGAGGGTAGGATATTTTTATTCTTGATTTAGCATAGAAATTAAAGTACATGAATTTACTAAAAGAAAGATCTGATACTCTTCTCATTTCTTCATCACGTGTAGTTGCTTACTGGATGCAATGAATGAATTTCCCACAAAATAAAAGTATGAATATATTAGCTAGAATCAAGGGGCAGACATACCACTAATGATGACAGTTAGGAATCTTTGTGATCCTATAGAAAATTATTTCCTTTCTCTCTGCTAGGGAATGTAGTGCCCATTTGCTCTACATGTTCTACACTTCTAAGAGAAGTGTACTAAGAATTTAACTACAATAGCTTCCTTTTATTCACCTTAAACTTTAATCTCTGATTGTCATTGTATAAAACAAAGCTTTTTCATTCCTGCTGGGGTTTTCTTTTCCCCCCTCAATGCTAAGAATCAAGCATTCCATGAACTGGAACTTGATATATGCCAGCCAAAGATGTTCTGGCAATGATGCTGTTCCATATAGGGGATACATTATATAGTAATAAGCAAAACCTTGATAGACAGATCTGTATGTTTTCTTTCTGGGCTAGGAGTCTTTCCATAAAATAAGGGGCAGGGCTAGGATTAAATTTGATTTCCTTTCATTAAACTAAATTAAATATACTTAAGATGATTATTCTCCTGTCATATATTTAATCAATATCTCCCATCTGTCGGAACACAAATTATATTTGAGAACCATTTTTAGAGCTATCTGGCAAGCTGCACAGAAACTGTGCAAAAGATCATGAAAAGCCATGACTGACCAGAAATCTATTTCAAGATTTAAATTCTCTTTTCCCGTACAAGGAACTTATTTGAAGTTAGAAAAAAGAATCTACATTGTGTCCTGCAAAGACACTCTGCACAAAATCCTTTGTATTTACACGAGCATTAATTATTTAAAAAGAAGAAATTAAAATGCTTGAGAAGAAGAGTTTTACGGGAAATCTGCATCCAAGGAGGAATCGCGTAACCAGCTTGGATACATTCAACTTACCGTGAGGCATTTCTGAATGAGTGCTGAGGTCTTTCAGGGCAATATTTAGTTCCTCCACATTCTGCAGGAGAACAAATGATTTAATTTGATGTAGACGTGTGATATCTGATGCTGACAGCGTGCCAGATTCAAGGCTCTTTAAAACCCCATGGACGCTTCCGAAGCTCTCAGCTAACTCTGCACATTTTGATAGCTCTTAAGGGAAAGAAAAAAGGAGCAGTTAGCAAGGTTTCTCTTGTTTACAGTGTACAGAGAGTCTTCGGCTTACAACAATTCATTTAACAACCGTCCAAAGTTACAATGGCACTGAAAAAAGTGACTTATGATAGCTTTTCACACTTAATGACCGTTGAACAATCCCTGTGGTCATGTGATCAAAATTTGGACACTTGGCAACTGGTATGTATTTATTACGATTGCAGTATCCTGGGTTCACCTGACCACCTTTTGCAACCTTCTGACAAGCAAAGTTAATGGGAAAGCCAGATTCACTTAACAACCATGTTACTAAATTAACATCTGCAGTGATTCATTTACCAACTCTGGCAAGAAAGGTAGAAAAAGGGGGCAAAACTCACTTAACTATCCCTCTTAGCCACAGAAATGTTGGGCTCAATTGTGGTGGTAAGTTGAGGACTACCTGTAATGTATTGGCCATAACTGTTTTAAATCACTTGCTTAATGTCTGACCTACATTGCTGTATTGTTTAACAGTTGCTGTTACTGAAAGCCAGACTGGTTGTCTCCAAGCTGATAATGAGGTTTGGGGCGGGAAACTGTTATTTAAACCTATTGGTTGCCACCTAGAGGCTAACTGTATAAATAGCTGTGCAGCAGCCTTTAGGGCTGCTTCTGTTCTGAGTTAATAAACTTGTTTGCTGTTTCAACACTCTGCCTCATTCAATGCCTACAGAACCGAAGATATAACACTACCTGTATGTAAAGGTTCATATTTGCCTTTTGATTCCATTGTTTTACTTTTGTCAACTTATTTTAAAAAATGATATAGAGAAACATTTACCCAATTGGAAATGAAAAAAGACTATGAGAGACTCATAGCACTATGTTTCTGAATCTGGGCCTATTAAATTTGCCAGGTCCATCCTGCTCTGCTGGAACTATATAAAACCATGAGGTCACACATCCTGAGTCCAGTCTGAATGAACATCAAGTGAGCTTATGCTGAGAAAATACAGGCATTACACAGAGTGTGACTTCGACCTGATATTTATACGAAAAGAGCTTCATATAAATATCAATGTTTAAAGGCTAAGGTCCACCTTTACGTGCATAATCAATGACTGGACTCAAAATTATGAATTCCATTTAAAAGGATTATGGGATGAGATGGCAATTGTGTCTCATGGATCTTCCATATATATGTTAACAATCCCTTGGTGCTACAGCCTCAAAAGAGGAACCTATATTTATAAAACAACTCATCCCAGTACAGTACTACTATTCCCTAATCTGTGATTTAAAGTAAAATCATTACTAAAATAACATCAAGCATACATAAAAAGAGGCTGAAAGGGGGAGAGAAGCCATCCACCTGTTTATGAGAGACTATGGAAGGAAAGTGAATAAGAAGCATTAAGATGCTAGTTATGCTAATATTTGTAGTAGCGCAAATTGACTATTCCCAGTGACAATGTAAATCAAAACAGAAGAAAAACTTTCTTTCACAGCTAGAGCTAATTATCATAGATAGAAAGACAGATAGGATTTTTTTTCACATATTTTTCAAATATGAAAATAAACTTTCTTCACTGTATATCCTTTCACATTCCACCCCTTTCTTTCTGCCCAATTATCATCTCTGGTGGTAAAGCTTTAAATTTACATTCCAACGAGGGTTTGCAGATGTGTTTGAAATTCAATTTGAACAAAATAAAGGAATCAGTATTCAGCACAACTACTTCCACATCCGAAAAATGCAGGATCATTTTCTTTGAAATCTCCGCCTGTGGGTGTATGATGCCTGCTCATAAATAATTTACTGGACCTTTGTGCCACTGCATCTTCTGGAAAGTGTAGCATGAAATCACAGTATACACCACTGTCCCTGTACTTCAGAAATTAAACGGAGACAAAGAAAACAGATTCTGAAGCTTATGTGAAAAGGGGTGGTTTCAGTGCATGCATTTAGAAATGCATTTCATTAAAATAAGTTATGATTGTTCATATATTCAAGTACATTTAATAACATAGTTCCTTACATCTGCTGTTGTATCGGAGCTATCCTGGAAGTAGGCATCAAACAGAAAACAAGAGCAGGCAGGAAGCTTGAATCAATACAATGATCTGTACATTATGTGAATTTGGCTTCCCCATTAACTTTGCTTGTCAGAAGATCGCAAAAGGTGATCACATGACACTGCAGCCGTCATCAATACGAACCAGTTGCCAAGTCTAAATTTTGAACATCTGACTGAGAAGATGCTGCAACAGTGATGTGAAAACGGTCATAATCTCTTTTTCAAGTGCTGTTGTAACTTTGAATGGTCACTAAATGAATGGCTGTTAAGTTGAGGATTACCTGTACTGGTCCACAGCCAGACACACTTCTAACTATATCACCACCTTCTGAATCAGCTACAGCTTCCAATGTAGAAGACACTGCAATAGTCCAGATATGAGGTGACTAAGAGTTGAGCGATTTTATTTTCTCCACTTTCTATCTTCTCTTTTCATTCTTTTCTAATTTTTAGATTGTATTAGGTTCTTTTTTATCTTTGTCATTGCAAACTTTAATAAAAACTGTGTTTTTATGCCTCCACTAGGCCTTGGTAATGCATGCAAGGTTGGCCATTCCTCCAGAATAAGATCATAGATGATCTATTACAGACCAATCGTGGTATTCAGAAGCAATGGCCAGAGGTCAAAGCTTCTGAGGATACAGAGACTTGGCACTGGAGCTGAAAAGTGGAAGTGATTTTAAGAATTGATTACTTTCCCATGAATGGTCCACTTCCAGATTCCATCTGTATTCTTCTTCTGCTGCATGAGTGGCACAGGTTGGGTGGCACAGGTTGAGTAGCTACTTCTGCATGAGTGGCAGTATGAAGTCCTTCATGGCATGAGGCCTGGCTATCCGAGTATCCTTGTTTCTCCACCTTTCTCATCCAAAAGAGATGACACAATCCTGGTCCCAAGTTTAAGTAAGTGTCATCCAATAAAGATGTAGAACTATACTTTCTCTAGAACAAATGTTTTTCAACCCTGGCCACTTTAAGATGTCTGGACTTCAACTACCAGGATTAAAATTGCCAAGGTTGAGGAATGCTTCTCTAGAAGAATATCATCTTGGAGGTTTGAGTGATCCCATCCTTACTGGGACAAACCTTGAAGACCTGATCCTTTCTTAGACAGCAAGTTCAGGAACCATGTGCCTTCTGAGGGAATTGCATGAATATGTTAGCTGTGTTGGTTCCCAGGTGACTGTCTACTTTCCCCCTTTTATTATACTGGGCATATTTTTAGCTGATATGCTGCCCAGAATCATTATAGGTTGGGTGATCTTATAAATTTGATAACTAAATGAAGACCTTATTACCAAGGGCAGTGGAAATGTCTTCTTGTTTCCTGAGTATAGGAACTAGGACTGGTCATATCTTCAAAAGGGAGTAGGGTTTAGCTTCAAAATAGTTTTCAATAAACATCCTCTCCAAGCTGAAGCAATACAGTCCTTTTTTTTTTTTAAGAGGGAAGCACTGTGGAAGGAGGCCGAAGGATACGTCTTCTCCTGCAGTCTTGGCTGACGTGGTTCCAGGTTCGGTGGCTTTGCCAAACAGAGCAGAAATTCCCACACTACAGACTGGGATTATGCATCTGAAAATCTTCAGTTGACACTTGAGAAAAAGGCTGACAGGACTCGCCTCCAACAGCTCTGGGCCCAATCAGTTCAAGGCGACATTTTTAGGGTTTGTTTTGTTAAGGCCTTCTCTTCAGAGGAGAGTACAGGGAGTCCTTGACTTACAACAATTTGTTTAGGGACCATTCAAAGTTACAGCAGCACTAAAAACAAAAGTGATTTATCACCGCCTTTCATACTTATGACCGTTGCAGCCTCCCCATGGCCACGTGACCAAAATTCAGATGCTTGGCAACTGGTTCATATTTATGATGGTTGCAGTGTCCCAGGGTCATGCGATCGCCTTTTGTGACCTTCTGACAAGCAAAGTCGGTGGGGAAGCCAGATTGACTTAACAACTGTGTTACTAACTTAATAACTGCGGTGATTCACTTAACAACTGTGGCAAGAAAGTAAATGGGGCAAAACTCACTTACAAATGTCTCACTTAGCGACAGAAATGTTGGACTTAGTTCTGGTCATAGGTCAAGGATTACCTGTATCATGTCGCCTTAACCTGCAAGGTGAATCTAAAACAGTTTGTACAGGCTCAATAGGATTTATGTATGTACTGTATATCCTTTCTTTCTCAAATTGAGAGCACAAAGCCATCAGTCTTTCTCCCTCCCTATATTCGACAGTGAAAAATAATTTGTTTTCCTCCCTTCAAGTCACTGTCATACATGATGAAATATACCTACTGTCAGAAAAATAGATTTCCAGTGTGCTTTGTAAAAAATCCAGAATGTCATCTGCTTTATCTGCAACTTCAAACTCTCTTTCTCTCTTTTCTTCAGGCATATATGTGAAATCAGTAGCAACTGGTTTTCTGAGCAAGCCAGCTGCTCTCATTTTTTCTTTTCGCCGCTTCTTTTTCATTTTCCTCTTTTGGTTTGGAGTCAAGTTTGGACCCTCCCTGGACTGCAGCTGCAAGTTATCTCCAGTCAGGTGTTCAGGCTCTCCACATTTTGCTGGACTTCCATGTCCAACAGCAGGCGTTTGAAAAACGTTCTTCTGTTTTTTCTTCCGCCGCTTTCTGGGAAGTTGCTTTTTGTCATTCTCCTCTGCACATTGAAAGGAAAACATAATGGACTGTAAATATAATAGGGGATGTGAAGCAATTTGGTTATCTGGATAAAAACATCCCTTTTCTCTAAGACTGTGATGCTTAAGAATCTCAGATGGGGGGGGAAAGGGAAGAGAGAAACAGAGAGAAGGTTTAGTTTGATTACAAATAAGGCAGTCCTTGACTTACAACAGTTCATTTTGTGTGGGTTGAAAGTTACAACGGCACTGAAAAAAGTGATTTATGACAGTTTTTCACACTTACAATTGTTGCAGCATAACCCATGGTCACGTGATCAAAATTCAGATGCTTGGCAACTGACATATTTATGACGGTTGCCATCTCCTGGGATCATGTGATCACCTTTTGTGATCTTCTGACAGGCAAAGTCAATGGAGTCAATGGGGAAGCCAGATTCACTTAACACCTGCAGTGATTCACTTAACAACTGTGGCAAGAAAGGTCGTAAAATGGGGCACAATTCATTTCACAACTATTTCACAGCAAAATGTTGGGCTCAACTGTGGTCGTAAGTCAAGGACTACCTGTACTTTTATTCTTTATTTACCATAATATATTCTTCATTAATGAGTAGCATGCTCTCTCTCTCTCTCTCTCTCTCTCTCTCTCTCTCTCTCTCTCTCTCTCTCTCTCTCACACACACACACACACACACACACACACACAGACAAATTGGTATCATAAGGAGTCTACTTTTTGATGAGCGGGGATTGGCCAACACAAAGGAGAGAATGAAGTGATATGAGAACAAATTCTGGGTGTTACTATTTGGTTTGGATGGAAATGAGGGCCTCTTTATTTGTGTCAAAAGCACCTACAGATTATAAACATATAACATTCAACCCTGAGTGAATAAAATAGACATAAAATAGGTCATAAAAATTTACCACATATAAAAATATGTAAATATTAACTAAATGTCATTTAGTTTTAATCCTATTAAATTATTAGGATTAAAATTAAATGACATTTGCTCAGGATTGGGCTATATAATATAATAATATCATATAATAATAATAAAGTTGGAAGGGACCTTGGAGGTCATCTAGTCCAACCCCCTGCTCAGGCAGGAAACCCTATACCATTTCGGACAAATGGCTGTCCAGTCTCTTCTTAAAAACTTCCAGTGTTGGAGCATTCGCCGCTTCTGAAGGCAGGTTGTTCCATTGGTTAATTGTTCTGAATGTCAGGAAGTTTCTTCTTAGTTGTAGGTTGCTTCTCTCCTTGATTAGTTTCCACCCGTTGCTTCTTGTCCTGCCTTCAGGCGCTTTGGAAAATAGCTTGACTCCCTCTTCTTTGTGGCAGCTCCTGAGATATTGGAACACTGCTATCATGTCCCCCCCTCCTCCTTCTCTTTATTAAACTAGACATACCCAATTCCAGCAGCCGTTCCTTATATGCTTTAGCCTACAGTCCCCTAATCCTCTTTGTTGCTCTTCTCTGAGTCTCAACATCTTTTTTACATTGTGGTGACCAAAACTGGATGCAGTATTCCAAGTGTGGCCTTACCAAAGCATTGTAAAGTGGTATTAATACTTCACGTAATCTTGATTCTATCCCTCTGTTAATGCAGCCTAGCACATGTCGACAGCATTCATCCATACATGTTGAAAGACACCGTAGCACGTGTGCGATGGATTATTCTTCTCCACACAGACTCTTCACACAGAGTATCTTCTATAGGGAAGCCCCCATATGAAGATGAGAGCTAAAAGGCTAAGATGCAACTTTACAAAAGTGGAAGAACTGGAAGGAACTATTACAATACCACCAATTTTATTTGTCTTCCTCTTAATTAAGCAAATTACAGCTTAGAAGAATGTATTCAAGAAGCTTCAAGGTCAACTTAAATAATTTCCAATTACATACTAGGTAACATGGGAGATTCCTCCCTGAGATGATTGTTTATAAGACGGCTTGCTATGTTCCCAAATAAAAAATATTTTTGATGGCATCCCATTCTGATGCATATTTTCCTGGTTCTTAAGTGTCCTCCAGATATAACAGAATTATAACTATAATAGGACTAGAGTCAGTGTGGTGTAGTGGTGAAGGTGCTGGCCTAAAAACCAGGAGGCCATGAGTTCTAGTCCTGTCTTAGGCATGAAAGCCAGCTGGATCACTTTGGGCCAGTTACTCTCTCTCTCAGCCCAATCCACCTCACAGGATTGTTGTTATGGAGAAAATAGGAGGAGGGCGGAGTATTAGCAGTAGTGGGATTCATCCGGTTCGCACCACTTCAGCAGAACTAGTAGCTAATTTTTTGTTGCCCAGGCCTAGAATGGACTTCCGGAAGCGGCATTCACACAGAGAACCGGATGTTCACATATTTGAATCCCACCACCGAGTATTAGATATGTTCACTACCTTGAATTACTTAAAAAAATAATAATAAAAGTGGGATACAAACCTAACAAACAAACCAAACAATAACTTTCCTAACTCTAAGAAGCTTGATTGTTAGTCAGAGTGGTCAGAAAATCTGAGAATCAAAATTCCAATTATTCTGGAGTAGAGCTAACACATCTGGGCTATAAAAATCTGGATGCCAGCAAAGTGGAACTTTTAAAAACCAAGATCCTCCAAGAAAATGCTGAATGGCTGACGGGTGGGGGGGGGGTGAGGGGAGAACAACCCATCATCGACCTACAGCTGTATGGGATATTCTTCTCTCCCCTTTGCCAGGGAGGACAGAAGGGAGGGGAAGAAAGACACCCCCCCACACACATTTGTCCTCCTGGTGCAGCGCTGTAGAATTGTCAGTGTAATCGAAGTACTCATATAGTGTTTTCCTGCCTATCCATCCCAAGCCACAATTTCATTTTCCATGAATTTATTTTAAACCCTTAAGCCCTTTAGGGGTAACAGAATTATTCTCTAGAAAGTGATATGTACACAAGTGGCATAATAAAATTAATGCCAATGCCCTTTTATTCTAACAGTCAGCCTGCCAGGTAGACCAGAGAGGAATCACGACCAGATGAGCTAAATCTACTTTATTATAAGGCTACATTAACAGAATCTTGCAAGTCTGAAAGTACAAATCTCCTGCCATCTCCTTTACGGAAACTGAGGAAGGTCTCTTCTGAGCCTCTTGTTCCACCCATCCCCTTGGTAGCCTCTCTTCCTCTCTTCTCCCAGGGTCTCTCTCACCTACTATTACACTGCCTTCTTCTGCAATTATTTTTGTAACCAGTTAATGATTGAGAAGGCCTTCATAGCTAAATCACTTTAGATTGTCTATACAATAATGACAAAGAGTGAAATGAGCAATCTTATTTTTTTCTGGGCCATAGCTGATGACATCATAATGTTATTGAAGCAAGCAATGATCGAAACGGCCCCCGCTTTTGGAATTTGGGGAAGATTTAATAGGCAAAATGGGTAGCGGAGGCAAAAAAATTCTACCCCTTCCTTCAAATTTGGGGGAAGGGGCCTGATATTTTCAGTAGACAAGAGTTTTCAGAAGAGCTATTGGAATCTTAACTCTCTGCTGTGCTTAAAATATCAATTTCATGTCTTAACGTATCTTAACATGAAACTTCCCCCAAAGAATGAAAATGTACTAATTTGTCAGCTCAGCTCAGCCCACCCACCAAAACTCTGGGGACACGAGCCTGGCTCCAGGGAATTATAAACGCTTCTTTGCGGGAGGGTGCCTTCCCCGCAGCCCTAAAGGAGGCGGTGGTGAGGCCCCTCCTTAAGAAGCCCTCCCTGGATCCAGATGTGTTGGCAAATTATCGTCCAGTCTCCAACCTACGCTTTGTGGCGAAGGTTGTTGAGAGTGTGGTTGCACGGCAGTTT